TGCACTTCCATTGGGCTAAGAGGCGAAGTGCACTGATTTGAGTATTGGAAATGAATAACTAGTAGTTTTTCAGTGGCTCTTGTGAAATAAAAACACACCTTTGAGTTGAGAATCTGAATTTTAGATGGTGTCTGTAAACTTCTAGTAGATTATTTTTTTTCCTTTCAATTAAGGTAGACATTCATCTTGTGGTTTGTTCTAAATGCGGTTTGTTCTAAGTGCATTTAGTCTACGCTCTGGTTCTGATGTTATTGAAGAGTTTCAGCTGCTTTAATTATCAGTTTAATAAGTGTTTCCATCGAAGAAAATTACTGATGATTTGATGTATGACCTGTGTTTATGCCTGAAGATTTGCAATGCATTGGCAGTTATAATATGAAATATCAAAAGAAAAAAAGCCAACTTCGATAGGAGAAAATTTATTTTTAGATTGCCTTGTGTAAGGATGAAAAGTTTAAATATTTCCCTGAGCAGAAATTTTGGCCGTAGATGTTTGCCAAATTTTTTTAAGCATAATATGGAAGTTTGTTAGCATGATGCTCTGTTTTGTATAATGCATCTTCTTTCTTTTAAGTAATATTATACTTCTGAAGCATTTAAACTTTGAATTTTTTGTGCCTGATGGGTTTACAGATTGTTGGGAATATGAAGGAAGAACCACGATTGATAATGTTGTTTACTGTGGTAAAGAATCTTCAGAGATTAGGTTATGTGCTAAAGGTGAATATTTTGTGATTACTTTATAATTTCCATGTTAATAGTGTCTAATGGTTCTTTATTTAATTTAGTTTTTTCAGTAGTGCCGAGCAAATGATGTTGCACTGTTTTGTTACAGATAGAATTATATTTTTAATTTAAATTTGGTTAGTAGTGTTGACGCTAATAATGCATGGTTCTCCCATCAAATAGCACAGGCATAAATGCTGATAAAAAAAATCTTAGCTGCACTCATAGGTGTTTTCAAATCCTGGTTCAGAAAAGCTTGGGCATCCTTACTTTGCTATTTGACAGATTTTTGCAGTAGGGAATGGTGAAGCACATTCAATGTGGGAGCAAATAAGTGATCAGATTTCAGTTTTAGGTCCAAAGCAATATGGTCACATTGATTGGTCAATGTAAGTTCCCTTTTCCTTATATTTTGGATTTTCCTTTTCTTTTTACAGAGATATTTCTGGATTGGTTTTTGGTTGCATTAGATAATGGATTTATATATGATTATTTAGGTTACATTCATTTTGGTTCTTGACTTTTTATATTCCTTTTATGTGGCATATTCTGCAGTTTTGAAGGTATTATTGCCGATTCTCTTGAAGCAAAAGAGGCTATCTCAAGGTCCACTATCCTTCCATAGCCTGCTGGTTTTCATAGTTACGTTAGAAACCTTATCCTATTGCATGATACTGCTGGGTGAATCTTGGTTATTCTGGGGTGTGAACATGAGCAAAGTCAACAATTTCTTAGAAGAGAAAGATGCTGTGGATACTTGATAAAATTATGGTTAGAATGACTATAGTAAAAAGGAGTTTTTTTCTCTGAATGAATCCAAAATCAATATCCCTGTATTTGTTGTTTTTGTTTGATTGCCATGATTAGTGAGCTTTATATCCATGCAGCCTTATGCAGGAGCCTTTTGATTTAATACCTCTTATATGGATAATTCAAGAAGACACTCTTGGAAAACGTCTTGCAATGTATAAGGAGATTGGCTTGGAGCATCTTGTTTCTAATTGGAAAAATGCTTTCAGTAGAGCCAATCTTGTTGTGTTCCCTGATTTCTCCCTTCCGGTACATATACATTATGCCAATAATTTTGCATTTCATTTCCAGCCAAACTTGTATTTGACATCTTATGGTGTTTTTCAATTACTATTCCTCCCTGTATCAGATGTTATATAGTGTGCTTGACAGTGGAAACTTCTTTGTAATTCCTGGATCACCAGTGGATGTGTGGGCTTCAGAAAGCTACAGTAAGACCCATGCAAAGCATCGAATAAGGAAGGACCATGGGTTCAATGATGATGACATGGTGGTTTTAGTTGTTGGAAGTTCTTTCTTCTTTGATGAGTTATCATGGGACTATGCTGTGGCAATGCATGCCATTGGACCTTTGCTAATCAAATATGCAAGAAGGAATGATGCTGGAGGATCTTTTAAATTTATTTTCTTATGTGGGAATTCTACGGATGGAAATAATGCTGCTTTACAGGTAAGCAATTGTTGATAAGGGCATCATCAATTGAACTTATATTTTATAAATATGAAGTCAGAAGCTTCTTATACCTGTATGTTTAGTAATGCCTCCGTTTTCATATAAAGTAATGGAAAGTTCCACCAAAAAAAAAAAAAATGTTTTGTCCAACTATTGGCTACACGACAAGGGCAATCCATGTTAAATATAATAAAAAATATAAAGCAATATTGATCAATGCTCCATAAATTATTGCACGTGTTGACCCTGTCACACTTGCTAGTTTATGATATCTTTCTTTGTGAATGTCATCTTTTCTTCAACTTGTAATTCATTTTGTTGGGTTCAATCCTCTTCAGTTATTTCAGCATGCTGCATTTCGTCATCTTGTTGGGTTGTATACTCTCTCAATATTGATTTCACACCTTCTATATTTTGTGTAGGAAGTTGCTTCGCGGATGGGACTTCCTAAAGGTTCACTTAGGCATTATGGCTTTAACAGTGATGTGAATGGGATTTTATTAATGACTGACATTGTTCTCTATGGTTCTTCCCAAGAAGAACAGGGTTTCCCTTCATTAATTATCCGAGCCATGACTTTTGGTATCCCATTTATCACGCCTGATTGTGCTATCATGAGAAAATATGTGCGTCCTTTTTTCTCCTTTTGGTTTGTAGTTGCCTTAAAATTTTTGTGTTTTTACCGTTTTTGGTGTTGTCATTTTTTCTATTCTATTTCTTACATCTTATGAATTTTCATAAATTACAGGTTGTTGATGGAACTCATGGGATTTTTTTCCCAAAACATGACCCTGATGCTTTGTTACGGTCTTTCTCGCTCTTGATATCAAATGGGAGGCTCTCTAAATTTGCTCAGACAGTAGCTTCTTCTGCAAGGCTGCTTGCTAAGAATATCTTGGCATCAGAATGCATAACTGGTTATGCTAAGCTTCTAGAGAAAGTAGTCAATTTCCCATCAGATGTCTTGCTGCCAGCTCCCGTTTCTCAAATTCGACAGGTATCATGGGAGTGGAATGTGTTTAGGAAGGAAATTGAACAGGGAACTGGTGGTTCTTCCACAAACTCTAGCATTGTTTATTATCTTGAGAAAGAGTTCACCAATCATGTTGTCTCATCTAACATCTCTGAGAATGAAACTGAGATTCTGGAACAAGATTTCCCTAGTGAATTTGACTGGGATGTATTAAAGGAAGTAGAAGACTTTGAAGAGTATGAGAGACTTGAATCAGAGGAGGTGTGTTATTTTCCTTGCAATAATGAAACTTTTGATTTCTCTTCTCACCCTTCCTTATGTCTGCTCCCCACTTTTCACATTTTCTTTTCATTATATTCAAACCAATATTTCTCAAATGACAGCTCATTGGAAAATTTTGTTTTTTGTTTTTTGTTTTTTGTTTTCTGTTTTTTTTTTTTTACTGTAGCTCAAAGAGAGAATGGAAGAAAATTCTGGTGTATGGGATGAGATATATCGCAATGCTCGGAAATCTGAGAAACTTAAGTTTGAGGCAAATGAAAGAGATGAGGGTGAGCTAGAAAGGACTGGTCAACCAGTATGCATTTACGAGATATATAGTGGGACTGGGGCATGGCCATTCTTGCACCATGGTTCTTTGTACCGTGGACTAAGTCTTGTGAGTTTCTGCTGCCCATATTTGTTAGTTAACTTTGATCTGTGGCTTACCAAAAAATAAAGAAGTTAACTTTGATCTGTCTTCATTATGTTTCTTTTATTGTTCCAGTCAATTATTTTCCTATGACTCCTGGATATGAAACATGAGTGTTTTGACATAGATAGGGTGTCTACTACAATAATTCAGAAGGTATAAGCATTAGTGTAAATTTGTTATTATAGTCTCAGGCATTGTCAGTCATAGTTTTTCAATGATTGAGTGTTACTTTGCTTCTGTAAAGATCATTAGGAGCTATCAAGTGAATAAAATCTATGGTTAAATTGGTTTAGCTAATTATTTATATCTGGCTTAGTATCCTTAAACACTTTTCTCCCGTATTGAGAAGTTTCCTTTCCCATGCATTTAAAATTTATTTGTCTCATTTATGAAAATGATTAATTTGTTGAACTAGTAGTTTTCTTATTCTAATTCATTCTTCATTTGGTGAGTCAGTCAAGAACAGCAATAAGATTGAGATCAGATGATGTGGATGCAGTTGTTCGACTTCGCATTTTGAATGACACTCATTATCGGAACATACTTTGTGAGATTGGAGGAATGTTTTCTATTGCATACAGGGTTGATAACATTCACAGGAGACCGTGGATTGGGTTTCAATCATGGCGTGCAGCTGGTAGGAAGGTACTTCCTGAGTTAATGTTGTATGCTATGGAGTTCTGTATTTCAATTACTGTACAAATTCGATAATTTCCATTAGAATAGAATTCCATTTTTGCAGCTGAACCCTGTATATTTGGTTTCAATTCTATAATTTTCAGTTTTTATATGCACCATAATTAGCTGCTAAGCATCTGTCTTTAACAGGTATCGTTGTCCCCCAAAGCCGAAAAAATTCTTGAAGAAACAATACAAGGAAGTAAAGGAGATGTTATATACTTTTGGTCACGCCTAGACATTGATGGCAGCATTACAGGCACTGGAACCAGTGATTTACTAACATTTTGGTCTATGTGTGATGTGTTAAATGGAGGAAACTGCAGGTATGATTTCTAACATTTCAGATTTAGCCATTTAGGTAGGTCAGCAGCAGACTGTTTCTGGAACCGCTTCTTTGTGATTGACATGGCCTTTATTAACTTGCTTCTGAAATCTATTTCTTATTAGTATGTATGTTTTTGCTCAAGACATTTCATTGAGCATATGAATTCTTTCCTTTTAAATATTTGCAGAACTGCTTTTGAAAATGCTTTTCGCCGGATGTATATCTTGCCATCACATGTGGAAGCTCTTCCCCCCATGCCCGAAGATGGTGGTCATTGGTCTGCATTGCATAGCTGGGTTATGCCAACTACTTCATTTCTGGAGTACATAATGTTCTCAAGGTAATTATAGACAGTTTTTCATTTGATCGCGTCCTATCTCTCTCTCACAAATTAACTTTTCACATGGTATTGTACCCTAAATTAATCAAAATCTTTTATCAATGGGGCCACAGAATGTTTGCTGATTCACTTGATGCAGTGCATGTCAACTCCAGTGAGGTTAATGTGTGTTTGCTGGGTTCCTCAGAGCTTGAGGTAAGCAGTGTAGGTCTTGCAACATGCATAGGTTCCAATGAGGACTAATAACAATGTTGCTGTTTGGTTATTTACTTGTGTAGAAAAAGCACTGTTACTGTCGGATGCTGGAACTTCTGGTCAATGTCTGGGCTTATCATAGTAGGCGGAGAATGGTTTACCTAGACCCGCGCACAGGTTTGCTAGAAGATCAACATCCGATTGAACAAAGAAAAGAATATATCTGGGCTAAATATTTTAACTTTACATTGTTAAAGAGTATGGATGAAGATCTAGCTGAGGCTGCAGATGATGGCGATCATCCTAGGAAGATGTGGTTGTGGCCATTGACAGGGGAAGTTCATTGGCAAGGGATTTATGAAAGAGAAAGGGAAGAAAGATACAGGCTGAAGATGGACAAAAAACGGAAAATGAAGGAGAAACTGTTTGAAAGGATGAGATATGGATACAAGCAGAAATCACTTGGATGATATGGTAGGACACTAGGGAACCACAGATGGCTTATTCTGACTTTTTGGAACAAGAAACTCTTGACACAGATACTAAACACGGGTATCAAATCTATCTTTCCTCAAGTCAGAAAATGGGAAGAAAAGCTGCAGAGCAGAAAAGCATTAGTTATTGCATCAGAACAGTATCAGTATTTCCTACTTCTCATTCTTTATCGTGTAGATCATTAGAACAGGTGGAAGGGTAGACAAAAATAGCTTTCTAGCAGTTCCGATTCAATAGCATTTTGGGTCGTTTGCTAAGTTACTCGGAGAGGCATAAGGATAGCAGGTTTTCTCCTTTTCCTTTTAGGGATACAGAGCAATTGAAATTCTTTTTCACCACACAGAGATTCAATTGAGCAGACATATTCTTTATCATTTGTATTTATCATTTGTATATATTATTGGGGGAAAAAAAATGAGGCAATTTTGATTAGCGTGATAGTTAAATTCATGCTCTTGCACTCTTTCTATTTTTTTTTTTTAATATATATCTCTACATTGATTATTATTTTTTTGTGTCCATAAGATCTTATGATTATGTTATATGAGAGATCATTTTTATGATTATGTTATATGAGCGAATATAATTTTTTACTTTCTTTAATTTGTCTCTCACGTTTTAAGAATTGGAATGTAAATCTCTAATTTAGAGTTTTAAGTTTTTAATCAATTAAAATACTCTTTTTAGGCAATTATTATTTGAGAAAAAGGAGAATTAGAAGGTCCTTGACAAAACATTTTGCGTTGATTATTATTATTTTTGTTCATCGTACAATTATATTATATAAGAGAAAGTAACTTTTTATTTTCTTTAATTTTTCATTTACACTTTAAATATTCGAATATAAATTTTTAATTTGGAGTTTTAAATTTTTAATCAATTAAAACACTCTTTTTAGGCAATTGTTATTTGAGAAAAGGAAAATTAAAAAGGTTCTTGAGAAAAGAAAGAATCAAAAGGTCCTAAAATTAAAAATAATTTTAATCACAATCATTTAAATATATAAGATATAATAGAAGTTTTAATTTTATTAAATATATTATATAATTATTGTTAAATATCTTAATATTTTTAATATTAGAAACGTTTATAATTTTTCCTTTTTCCTTAATAAAATTATGATGTGTTCCTTTGCAAGAGAAAAGAGAATTGAGTGCCCAGCTGACAAGCTCAATGGTAATGGCCCGGGAAAAAAGTTTTGACTTTTGGTATTCTCTCAAATACAAACAAGAGGACCTGGTGACACGGTATGTGGGTGGAATGGGGAGTGAAGAGACAAGAATTCAGAAACTGCTTCTCATTTTTTAAAATAATGGGCTTGTTTAGTCTAGTTTCTTGAAATTTTTATTTTTTAAATATTGTTTATAAATTATAAGTTTAAATTTTTATTTGAAAAAAAATTTAAAACTTGTTTTAAAAAATAATTAAAAAATGAGAAAAAAAGTTTATAAAAAATAAAAAATTAAAAATATTCAAAATTTATTATTTAAAATTTTTTAAAATTTAAAAATATAATTTTTTTAAAAAAATTAATTTATAAAATATAAATAATATCAAAAAATTAAAATACTTAAAAATTTATTACAAATTTCACTAAACATGTTACAAGAGAATTGAGTTAATTGATTGCAAGAAAAAATAAATAAATATTTGTTTGAAACAGAGAATTGGATCATCGTTCTGATTTTAGTACCCATCTTTGGGGCCGAAGCCTTCTAGACTAGTTTTGTTTGTCTTTGATATTGAAAAAGGACGGCACTTTGGACTGCTGGAAGCTTAGCTCGGGAATTATTATTGGGTCCGGCCTTGTTCAGAAAATAACTTATTTATCACAGCCCAAAGGCCCCAAGTTTCCCGCCCCTTCTTCGTATAGTGCATACTGATACTGTTATTGGTAGTAGCACACTGGCAGTAAGTAGGGTTTTAAGATGAAAAAACAAAACCGCTCCAAATCCTAAATCTTATCTTTCGTTCTTCGGGGTATCACTCTTTTGTCTTCTGCTAATTTACTCCATCATTTCCTTAGTCCCTTTTTTTTTTTTTTCTGCTAATGCTTTCACTTTTCCATTTTTTGGTATGCTCTTGTTCTTGATTGTTATTGTTTTTTTTTTAAATTTTTTTTTCCTCTTTTGATTACATGCATTTTTGTGAAATTTTTGTGAGAATCATTTGGTGACAAGTAAAAACATTGAATCTGATCCTACAATTTAGCTTAATTGAGCCGAAATATATATATATATATATATATTTCTTTCAAATTCTCAGTTTATGTCATTTCTGAATTCTACTTAGAAGCATTTCTGATTTGGTAGTTTATCCTTTTGCACGATTAACAAGCTAGTTTATGTCTGTTTCTTTAGATAAACTGAGAATTACTGTAAATTGGCTTTGAATTGCTTTAATGAATCATGGTTTTCTAAGTTTGGTTCTGTATCATGTAGGATAAAGTTGGGTAAATCATAATCTCATGCATGCTATAAAAGGCGCCTGGGTTGGGCAAACGTTTGCCTTAGCTAAAAGCAATGAGTCTGGTGGGAGGAAAGCTCGAATTCGGCGTTCAAAGGAGGAGAGGAAAGTCATGGTTGAATCTTTTATAAAGAAGTAAGCACATTATATAATTCTCTTCAGTGATAGTCATGAGCACGATTTGTGCTACTGCATGTCATTCTGGTCGCCTTTCTTACTTTTGCCCTCAAACAATACAGTATTTGTATTTTCTTACATTGTTACCACTTACCAGTATATGGTTCCTTATTTTATCGTTTCTGTAGTATCAACTAATTATTTGTGGGATTTGTAGATTATGGGCAATTTCAATTGATAGCTTCTTGAGCTTAAAAAGAAAATAAATTTTGCTTCAACATTGACTTCGACCTCTGCTAATTGTGTTGTGGTGGAATTCAAATGGAAGATGATTTGTATGGGATTTTGGTTCCTGGATAATGCTAGTTTTGAAGAATGTAGCATTGCTATATATTTTTTTCAATCCTTAAGAAAATTTCCAGCAAAATAACTACAGACATTTCTATTAACCCTTTCTGCCCTGCTTCAGCTGCCATGATGAGATTCTTGCTTCTTTATGTTTTAATTAACTATATTGTTTTGGCCTTTTGGATTTGACCATTGACCTCTCACCTCTGTAATGAAGCTGTTATTATAATAATAGTTTCCTTAAATGAGTTCCTGGATGTGCTGCTAAAGCAACATGCCATTAATTGGTGAAACGACTTCTAGGTACCAGAGTACAAACGATGGGAATTTCCCATCTCTGAATCTCACACACAAGGAAGTTGGTGGATCATTCTATACCATAAGGGAGATTGTCCGAGAGATCATCCAAGAAAATAGAGTGCTGGGTCCTGGTAAGTTAATTGAAGAGGAGGAGAACGCTGAACAGTTCTTGGAACAGCATCCATTGGGTTCAATTTCCATTGAACTGCAATCCTCTCAGTCTATTCCCACTTCTGGAATTAATTTTGTACCTAATCATGATCAGGATGTAAATGATGAATCAGAACATGAGTTTGATAATGAACAAATCATCAATGTGAGTGCCATGGATTTGAAAGATGAAACTGATACAGAAGTCAGGGCAGAGTTTGAAGGAAATGGGACTTCTATTGATTTGAAAGATAAAAGTGATAAAGAAGTTGGTTCAGTGGAAGTAAATGGGAGTGCCATGGATTTGAAAGATGAAAGTGCTAAAGAAGTAAGTGCAGAATTGGGAGTAGCTGGGATTGGGATGGATTTGAAAGATGAAAGTGATAAGGAAGTTGGTGCAGAGGTGAAAGTAGAGTTATTTGAAGAAAGTGGGAAAGAACTAACATCACCAACTTCCAGAGTAACCCCAGTAATGGCAGAAGCAGAGGAAAGTGGCAAGCAATTTACACCTACGACATCTAAAGTAACTCAGTTAACAACAGATGCCATAGTGGAGACATTTCCATTAAGGCCGGTTTCTACATTTGCTGACTACATTGATGAAAGGTCTGGTGAAGTCAGGATTCTAAGTGAAACTTCTGAAGAAACACAAATTAAAAAGGTGGGCCTGGGTCCAGAAAATGGCAATTCCATATCAAATGGAATAATTTCCTCCGAGAAAAACAATGCAGTTATGTTGGAGAAAAACTCTGATTCACCACTAGAGGTCTCTAAACAGTTAACAACAACTGATAGTGTAGAGCATGGCTCCCAAAATGGTGCAACATCAAAGGTTGATGTATTGACTAATGATATTTTAACATCTAAAACCAATGAAAGAAGCAAGGTTACTGATGGAGAGGTATGTTTTACTCAAACACCTGTTCTGTTTCTCTATATGTGAAATTACTTTGTGACCAGGTGCACACCAAGCGTCATTTCAATATTAAAGTTGTATGTGTATTACTAGTGGGAGAAAATTCAGTAACATATGTTGGCATCTAATGGAATGGAAATGTATAAAGAGAAGGATTTGATAGGAGAAATATATTTAAATCGCTATCTTTAACAGGTACTGACTGAAATAATATTGGTTTTTTTTTTTTTTGCACAGCCTGAAATAATATTGGTTAGCCTAAGTATAGCTAGGCTAGGAGTTGTGTCTTCATCTCTTCCTGAAACCTTTGATGGCAGATTCTATGACTCAAACTGTTGTTATTAAGTACGTTTCCCCTCCACCCCCCTCCCCCCCCTCTTTTTTTTTTTTCAGGTTACAAGTTTCTCAAATGGCATCCATCCGAAGACTGATGATACTCTCCCTGTCAATTTTAGTGTTGAGTCAGCAACCCAAGAGGAAATTGTGGTAAAAAAGAATAGAGCCAATGTTCAACATAATGCCAACTCCCAGAAAGCAAGCAATGCAACATTAGACAGGACTAAATTGTAAGCATCTCTTCCATCTTCTGTTGTATTTATAATACATAGTAGATATCTCATTCAAGTTCTTCTTATGAATTGCTTGTTTGAACATTATACATGGTCCTTAGGATAACCAGTGATGTTCAGCTATATCTTTGATTGTTTTTGTTTATGCACAGTGAATCTAGGGAAGGAACTGCAAAAGGTAATGCAGCATCAAAAACCAACCCACTCTTGGCCTTTTTCAATTCATTCATAGCTACCTTTGTAAAATTCTGGTCTGAGTGATGCGTAGTATTCACTATCTAGTTTGGAGTTCTCATCGTAGTACTTGCTGTCTCTACCATAGTCAATGTCTTTACAGTGAAAAGAAAACTGGCTTGATTCCTGTATTAATTAATTTCATGTACTTACAGTAAATGATATTTAGTTTCCTCTTCAACAAACTTCTGATGTAATTTCTGAGAAATTGAATTATGCCATATTTAAACATTGATCTATATCTCTGTCCACATTCAACCCCATCTCCTATAGCAAAATTTAATACTACTGTGCAAGTAAATATTAAATTTCTTCTTCTTCTTTGTCTTTTCTTTTTTTTATCCAACTTTATCAACACACCAAACGCTGCCCAAATTGAATTTTACTATTTGATACTCTATTTGATCAAATTTAGTTGTTTTAATTTAACTTTTGAATAATTTGACCAAATAATTTTATATAATAAATATATGACAATTAAAAATTTTCATTTAAATCAAAAAAACATTTTAATTGTTATTCATTTGTTACATAAGTTCATTGTGCTAATTTACATAGAGTTAAAGAATTATGACAATTAAAAAAGACTAGAGGGAGCAGTAAATAGTAAATTCCGGCCTTTTATTAAAGAAAAATGAAGCAAAATAAAAAAGGAAAACCTAATACACCTAGATAAAAATAATTAAGCCTTTTTTAATAAAGGACCTCTTCTTCATTCTTGGCCTTAAAACAAGGTTAGCTTGCTGTTAACACTTGTCTTCAAGCCTAAATCGAAGATTAGATTGAGGAGCAGAAAGACAGAGATTATTATATATAAAAGAAAAATGAAAGAAAAGGTTAGAATTCATCAACAAGCTAAGCCTTGACATAAGGAATAAAGTTGTGGTTAATCAGGTGAATTTGGAATGTTTCTGTCTACAGGTTTTTTCTCCATCTAATTCTGATCAAACACAACCTGCAAAATGGTTTTTGTTATATCACTTTGTCTCTTAACAGAATTTTAGAAGGCAAAGTGATTAGTTCACTACTCAATTTACTTATGCCATCATTGAAACCCCAAATCCAAACACTCATTCACATTGCAGTTTGCAGATAGACCGATGGTTCCATGCAACTATAATAGTGTATTATATTGGTGATTAACGACAGATTTAGATTTGTCTATGCGAAAAAAAAAAAATGCAACATGCCATCGGAATCTCATATCAAAATAAAGTATGATTGTGAATGATTTATAAGATTTATGAATAATCGTTATTAATAATAACTTGACTTAAAATTTTGAGAGTCACGTGAATCTCAAGTCAAGAGTTAAGCAAGTAAGTGTTTCGGTGTGGATACTTACAAAGAAGGGTATGAGGTGGCT